CTGGGGTGGGAGTTAGGGAAGAGAGTGACTGCAGTAGAGCACACGGGAACTTCCTGGGGTGACTAAAACACTCTACACCTTGATTGTGGTGATGATTACAAACATTTGTCCAAACTCATGTATTAATACCATACACTTACGATACACATTTTCTTATTTGTAAACCATACTGCTAGGGTTTGAATATCTGTCCTCTTCAAAACTCATGTTAAATCTTAATCCCAGGCCAGGTGCAGTGGCTCACACCTATAATCCCAGCACTTTGAAAGGCTGAGGCAGGATTGCTTGAGGTCAGGAGTTCAAGATCAGACTGGTCAAGATAGCGAGAACATGGTTCTACAAAAAAAATTAAGTAAATTGCCTGGGCATGGTGGTACATGCCTGTGGTCCAAGCTACTGAGAAGCTGAAGCAGGCGGATCCCTTGAGCCCAGGATATCAAAGTTGCAGTGAGCCATGACTGCACCACTGCATTCCAGGTTGGGCTACAGAGTGAGACCCTGTTGTAAAAAAAAGGTGGGGGTGGGTGGGGTTTTTCAGAAGTGATCATAAGGGCTCTGTGCTCATGAATGAATTAGCTCATTCATGAATTAATGGAGTCAAAGGTTAATGTGTTAATGGGTCATCATGGGAGGGGAACTGGTGGTTTTCTAAGAGAAAGTCCTGAGCTAGCAGCCTGAGCCATCTGACCATGCGATACCTGTGCCCCCCTTGGGATTCTTTAGAGTCCATATGAGAAAGAAGTGCCCCTTAAACCTTAGACTTCCCAGCATCCATAACTGTAAGAAATAAGCTCTTTTATTTCTAAATTTCCCACGTTCAGGTATTGTTACAAGCAACAGAAAACAGATTAAAAGAAAAAGATGTACTTCAATAAAGATGATTTGAAATTTGAAAACAAAAACAAAAACAAAAACAAATCACTGATACACGGAAGAAAATAAACCAAACTCGAACATTATCCTGTGTACAGGAATCCAGACACAAACAGGACGCACCATGAAGATTTCATTTACTCCAGGTCCAAAACAGGCAAAACTGCTTCATGCTGATAGAAATCACAATTGCGGTCATCGTGGAGAATTGACGGTGAAAGGGCAGGAGGCAACTTTCTGGGTTGATGAAATATCCTGTATCTTGATGGGATATAGTTACACGGGTGGTATACAATTATAAACACTGAAACTTAAAATCTTTGTTTGTATGTAGATTATACCTCAATTTAAAGAAATGCATCCTACTCTCCGTCCTCCAAAGCATTTTACTGTGCACAACTCTCTGTAGCTCTGGACTTTTTCTAGTGGTACAATGACTATTTTAAATTTAAATTCCACATCAGGGCAAGGCCTCCATATAATAGGAAAACCGAACAGGTTCTTTGAACATGAGTCTGTTCCAGAAAATTGCTGATGAAAACAGTGCCTATAAAGCAAAACTAGGACAGGCCAATCAACCTTGTAAGTCTGGCCACATATAACATTCTTCAATTAATACAAATGGAATCTGAATCTGAGAAGCCGAGGCAGGAGGATCCCTTGAGTTACCTGTTTTTTCGGTGCCCACAGTTTCTTTCTTTCTAGAACCAAGCTGGCTTCCTGCCTTCAGATCCAACTTCTGCTCCTGCTGCTGCCCGCCACTATGAAAATCGCTTTCCTCTCCTGGGAGTCTCTTGTCCTCCTCCTTCAGACAGAGCTGCCAAGAGCAATAGCTTTATACGCAGAAGCCCATCCGCTTCTGGTGGCTTTATGTACCGGGGCCCACCCTCTTCTACAGCCAATGCCATTTGAAATCCCATTCAAAAAAAAAAAAAAGCGGACACCCAGATTCAGATCTTTCTGAAACACAAGTTATTAGAGAGATAAACAAATGACAAATGAATAACACCTTCCCCTGACTATTCTTTTTTTTTTTTTTTTGAGATGGAGTCTCCCTCTGTCGTCCCGGCTGGAGTCTGGAGTCTGGAGTGTAGTGGTACAATCTCTGCTCACCGCAACCTCTGCCTCCTGGGTTCAAGAGATTCTCCCACCTCAGCCTCCTGAGTAGCTGAGACCACAGGCACCTGCCACCAGGCCTGGCTATTTTTGGATTTTTAGTAGAGACAAGGTTTTGCCATGTTGGTCAGGCTGGTCTTGAACTCCTGACCTCAAGTGCTCCGCCCTCCTCAGCCTCCCAAAGTGCTGGGATTACAGGTGTGAGCCACCATACCCGGCCTTCCCCTGACTATTCTTACTAAAGTCATCTAATTTAGCATCTATAGAATTTTGTGCTAAGTGACCTAGACTCTTAAAAAACTACAAAGCAGCCTTATCATCCATTTATAATCCTTTATGTCAAACCCCACACTCCCCGCCAAAAAAAAAAAAAACTTTGCTGAAATAAAGCACTCCACACAGCTTCCAAAGACATGAACTAGACCCAGATATTCAATATGTGGGCCAGAATAGTTCTGTTGTTTATTTTTGTAAAAGCAGAAACGTGATATTTTTAAAATTTTATTTTTAGTAAAGATGGGGCTTTCCCATGTTGGCCAGGCTGCTCTTGAACTCCTGGCCTCAAGCAATTGGCCTGCCTCGGCCTCCCAAAGTGCTGGGATTACAGGTATGAGCCACTGTGCTCAGCCCAAGTGATCTTTAAGATGCTTCAGATTTTATTTTATCATATATGGTACCATTCCTTTTAATTTGCATGAGGTATTTGCTGGTAAATTAATCATTCCCTTCCAAATTCTGTGTATTCTGTTATGTCTATGTTCAGATCAATCTAGTCGTAGGTAGAGCAGGAGGAATATACCTAAGAAAACCATGAAACTGATGGGAACAGCTTAGAAAGTCAACTGACCCCAGCCTGGGCAAAGTAGCGAGACCTCATCTCTATAAAAAAATACAAAAATTAGCCAGGTGTGGTGGCGTGTGCCTGTAGTGCCAGGTACTTGGGGGACTGAGGTGGGAGGATCGCTTGAACTGGAAAGGTCAAGGCTGCGGTGAGCCGAGATCCCAGCCACTGCACTCCAGCCTGGGCAACAAGAGCGAGACTCTATCTCAAAAAAAAAAAACAAACAAAAAAAACAAAACTTCGAAAACCCCAAACAAAACATAAAAGGAAAGTCAACTGACCATCTAGTCATTGAGATGCAGTGGAAGTATCTGATTAAATGCACTGAGAGAAGGTGGGATTGTAGGGGAAAAATTGGATTAAAGAAAAATTAGAGGTCATTGGAGCTATTTGACAACTCTGTAAATTTTAACAACTGACGGCAATGTTAAATAATTATTGTCTATAGACATGCAAATAAGGTTTATCCTGTGAAGGACAACAGTCTTCCTTTCCCCCATGGAAAACCAGTTTCAATATTCCTGATCTCTATATATTTCATTATTCAATATTCCTGATCTACAAACATACTCATTCTTTGGATTCTTCTTTGATCTGGCTATTACAGACTCACCAGTTTCATCACTATTAAGTGGTGGGACTCAGAAGCCGATACCCCAAAATATGGGGCTTTGACATGCTAGAGACCTCAAGGTCTCCCTGACCTTCCCTGCTCCCAGCTCAACAAAGCCTTTACCTGCATAAGATCCAGACCCACCAAAAGGAACAATTGTTTCTTTTCCCCTCCCTGTAAGACTAAGAATATACCGCACACCTGAACAGACCCTTTCACAGGATACTGTAGCTTATTCTCTCCCCTGGCCCATTCATTCTCCCTAGCAGGGCCCTCAACAGAACCGCTCTTCTCCTCCCTCCCATAACCTTATTTGCCAGGGTAGTCTATAAGCTTCCCAGACATGTTGCAAGGTGGGTAATCAATCACTCTGAGTCTCCCTGTGTGCATGTTAAATAAATGTGTATGCATTTACCATTATACAACCTTATGAGTCTTGTTGGTGTTTTACCAATAATGACTGAAGGAAATTGGTATTTTTGTTCATTTCAGCTACTACTAGGATAATCTTATAAGATATTTGGGAAGTTATGTTTTGGTCTATTTAATATATGTGCCTTGATGAAAAACACCTTTTGTCACAGGAGACACCAATGTTTCAATATTGATAGGAGCAAAACACATGATAGTACTTTTTTTTTTTTTTGAGGCAGAGTCTTGCTCTGTTGCCCAGGTTGGAGTGCAGTGGCACAATCCTGGCTCACTGCAACTTTCACCTCCCAAGTTCAAGCCATTCTTCAGCCTCAGCCTCCCGAGTAGCTGGGATTACAGGTGCCCGCCACCATGCCAGGCTAATTTTTGCCTTTTTAGTAGAGGCAGGGCCGGGCTGGTCTCGAACTCCTGACCTCAAGTGATCCACCCCTCTCAGCCTCCCAAAGTGCTGGGATTACAGGTATGAGCCACCACCCCCGGCCTGAGAGTACTTTTAGAGAACATTATATCTTTACCCTTTTCAAACTTGAAGCACTCGGAAAGTACCAACCTTTTGCACATTTGCGGAGGTGACATTGATTTGGTAAATAGATGTCACACTATTTATTTATTATTTGATGACTTAGGTATTCTTCCCAGCAGTGTTTTTGTAAAGCGCAGTTGTGTTTTCTTTTAGTTCCAATTAACTAAATTTGAAGTGGTTCCCAAAAAAGCCCCTGCTCTCTTAAATTCAAACTCACCTTCCTTTTTCTCACTAGGAAGGACCTTTTCTCCATCCTTGGATTGGAATTTGGAATCTGTGCTAAAACGCCTTTGCAGTTAAAATCTGTGAACGCGGGGTGTAACCATAGGAGGTGCTGGCACTTTACGAGAATGGTGATTTTATTTAATCTGCTTTTCCAGAAGGCTGCAAATGGGAATTCCAGACAAACCCACTTGGGTGAGTCCCAGCACGCGGGCTGCGGCGCGGCGGGAGAGCTCCTCACGCGGCTGGAGTGTAGCCCAGGTCCGCAGAGCCAGGACCCCGCCCCCAGCTCTCCGAAACCGGGAAGAGAGAGGCGACACTGCTGAGGCCGAGGGATGACAGTGCTGTTTCCATTAATTCGCCCCCCGAGATGTTCTTACTTACAGAAGGAGGTGTCTGTTCACCAAATCGCTCACTTGCCGGACGACCACTCACCCGCGGCTGCCGGGTGGATCCAAGCGCTCTTGATGGGAAGGGGGCGGAGCCTGCCTGGCCGGGACCCCCGGGGCCACGCCCCCACGTTTTGCATATGTGAATCCGCGCGTCCATACCTTTCATCTCAGTGTGGAAGCCCAGGTTTTCCCGGGCCAGGGCCGGTTTTCTGGGCAGAAACAGTGAACTCCGCTGAAACTGTCTCTTATACACATCTAGATGTGTATAAGAGACAGGTGCAGTGGTGCAACCCGAGCTCACTGCAACCTCGATCTCCAGACTCAGTGATCCTCCTGCCTCAGCCTCCCAAGTAGCTGGGCTTGCAGGTGGGTGCCACCACATCACATTATTATTATTATTTTTTTTTTGGTAGAGACAGAGTCTCACTATCTTGCCCAGGCTGGTCTTGAACTCCTGGCCTCAAAGGATCCTCCTGCCTTGGCCTCCCAAAGTGTTGGGATTACAGGCGTGAGCCACTACGCTCAACCTACAAAGAGTTTATATATTAAAGTGAAATTTCTTATTAAACAGAAGATTTTTAAGAAAAGCATTACAAGGTTCTTATTGGTTAAAATGGAAAAAAAATTTATTTTTGTTTATCTCCTGGTAGAACTGAAAAACCCTCCCTAAAGATGAACACTGCATGGCTTCTAAGGGCTACCAGCAGAAGTGAAATGGATTAAAAGACCCCAACGTGTCTTGGTTCTCTGTCCTGTGGCTCTGGGTTTTCTATTTTCATCTTCCTGGTTTGTGAAAAGTCCCGAGCTGAACCTTAGGTGTAGGAGTGCCCTGCTCATTGTGCAACCTTGCAAATAGCTGGGTTCTTCCAGAGAATGTTGTGAAATTTTCTTAAAGGCTGAAGGTGTCATGATTTTCTCCACACCTCTTGAAGAAGATGAGTTCAAATTGGATCTTGAGAAGTTTACTCTGATTCTGTAATATCTCATAGCCATAGTCTAAGTCAGAGAGAGAGATTGAATGCATTCATGCGTAGAAACATAAATGACACATTTGCAGATTACATGACATGACATTTGAGTTTGATCCCATATGATCGTGTGGGGAGAAGGGTGTGGATGGGGTCATAGATGACAAAAGATTGGCCATGTGTTGAGTATTGTTAACTTGGGCGGTAGTTCTTAGAAATGGATTGTACTGTTTTCCACTTTTGTATATGTTTGTTGTTTTCCATAATACAAAATAGTTTTAAAATCATTTGTTCTGACGGGGCACAGTGGCTAATGCCTGTAATACAGCACTTTGGGAAGCTGAGGTGGGTGGATCGCTTGAGCCCAGGAGTTCAAGATCAGCCTGGGCAACATAGTGAGACTCTGTCTCTACAAAAATACAAAAATTACCCAGGCATGGTAGCCTGCATCTGTAGTCCCAGTAACTTGGGAGGCTGAAGTGGGAGGTTGGCTTGAGGCTAAAGAGGTGGAGGTTGCAATGAACTGAGATCACGCCATTGCACTCCAGCCTGGGTAACAGAGCCAGACCCTGTCTCAAATAAACCCACACACAAAAAAGAAAAAAAATCATTTGTTCATTAAGAATTTATTTATTGAGTAACTACTATGTGCCAGACACTGTCCTGGGTGCTTGCGATGCATTCGTGAACAAAGTTAAAAATCTCTTGCCTTGTAACTTACATTCTAGCTTGGAATGGGGTATGTAGAAGGAACGTGAATAGTAAACATGATGAGTTAGTGAATTTTATAGTGTGTTAGAAAGTGATAAGTGCTGTGGATTCCATTGAGAAG